TAATAAACAAAGCAGAATCGTGATTACTCTGGACAAATCCAAGACAGGTAATCACTATGGAGAATTTCTCAAAGCAAACACGAGGGTCTTGCTTGAGACCATACAGAGCTTTGCGAATCCGACAAACCTTACCCGTCCGGTGCTAAATTCCTGGGGGAGGAGTCATATAAAGCTCTTCATAGAGGTCACCATTCAAAAAAGCATTATGGAAATCCATTTGAAAGATCTTCCACTATCGAATGGATGCAACTGCAATCATAGTACAGACTGTCGTCATCTTTGCAACTGGGGTAAATGTCTCCTCGTAGTCAAAACCATACTATTGGAATACCCTTTGTTACAATTCTGGATTGGTACCACTCAACAAACCCATCAACTTTTGTTTTTATCTCGTACACCCAACAACAACCTATCGTATGTTTCCCAGGAGGAAGGGAAACCAAATCCCATGTATAAGTCTAATGAAGAGCAGTGAGTTCCTCAGCCATAGCATTCTGCCAAAGAGGATCTAAAACAGCTTCTCTATATGATTCAGGTTCAGACAAATGATGGATACTCGCTATAAATGAATCAAATGGTCCTGAATATGTAGAGTAAGTAAAATATGGAAGCTTGGTGGACTTGACAGGACGAGTAGATCTCCTGAGGGGTGGGGGTGGAGGTGGATCCTCAATTTAAACAATCGGAGGAGCAGGCTCAGGAACAGGGGGGTTGAGGAACTCTCTGAAGAAGTGGGTGTGTCATGAGCTGAAGGATCAGGTGGCATAGATGGATATTGAGCCTCTATCTCTTCATTAAAAGGATCAATATGCAGAAGATCGAACTTCGTAACATTGTGGGTTGTAGCAGAAATCGAGTGGAAAGGAATATGTTCCAAAAAAGTGGCATGCCAAGAAACATATAACTTCTGACTTACAGGAACATAGCAACGGTATCCTTTTTGTCCAATACCATACCCAAAAAATACACATATAGCATATTTTGGCCCCAACTTGTTCCTCTCAACATGAGGACGAAGAACAAAACAAGTACATCCAAAAACTCGTAAGGAAGAGTAGTCTGGTTGATGGCCATATAGCTTCTCAAAAGGAGACATTTCGGAATTCAATGAAGTAGGGATACGATTAATCACATACACAACAGTTAGGAATGCTTCTCTCCAAAAGGCACTAAGGACATGCGCAGATAGGAGCAATGAGTGGGCAGTCTCAACAATATGACAGTGTTTTCATTCTGGCATGTTGTTTTGCTGATGTGTGTCAGTACACGAGGACTGGTCTATGGTATCATCAAAAGAAATTAACTGAGTAAAATCATTAGAGGTATATTCACCCCTAACTCACACCTGAAGCACTTAATCACATCCACATGTTGAGTTTTAACAAGAGCTCTAAAATTACTGTAAATATCAAAGAAATTAGATCTGTGTTTCATAAGATAAACCCATGTATATCGAGTATAATCATTTATAAAAGATACATAATAGGTTGACGCACCCTTTGTGGATACTGGTGCAGGACCCCATACATCAGAATGAATAATGACAAAAGGAGCAGTAGAACAAGACATATTTTTATTGACAGGTAAAGCAGAGAATTTTGTCAGTTTACAACCATTACAATTAGAACTATCACAAGTGTCTAAATGACCCAAAACACCACTAGATGCTAAAACACTCAAACGTGATATAGACACATGTCCCAAACGAGAATGCCAAAGATAAAACTCAGACAACAAAGGACTCAAACGGAAAGAAGATAAATCAATGTTGCAGGCAGCAACAACAGATACTTTGAGAACCTCCAAGACATACAGTTCCCCCACCCTACGACCGATCCTAATCACCTTGTGGGTGTGTTGATCCTGTTTAACACAGACAGAATTAGAAAAGAACACCCAATTACCAGACTTACATAACTAACTGATTGAGGCAAGATTCAAAGTAAGTTTGGGAATCTAATAAACATCAGGGAAAGTGATATGAGAAATAGAGACAGACCCAACACCCTACCTAACATAGATGCATCACTAGCAGACTTAATAGAAATATATGACACTTGCGACAAAGAAGTAAATGATGACAAATGATGAGTCATATGATGGGTTGCACCAAAATCTAAAATCGACAAAGATAAGGGAATACCTTATGTACTAGATGAAGTAGGACCAGATGAGACATAGATGCAGACATGGCAGTGGGACTAGAGGCCAAATACTGTCTGAAACTCTCAAACACCTTGGGATCCAATGCAGATGGTGGCATGTTTCCAACATAATCTGTATCAACTGGTGGTATAGCAGCAGCAACAAACTGCTGAGGATGAGGGATCTATGGAGGAGTACCAGACGAATGTTGATAAAACTTCTATTGACCATACCCATTTTGTTGTCCCGGCTAAGGTTGACTAGAATTACCCTTGTTGACTAACAATGGACACTGAGCTTTCCAATGATTTTTTTGTTTGCAGAATGCACACTCATCATAAGCAACCCTTGAAGGTTGTCAAGACTGATTAAAGGAAACATTAAGCATAACAGGAGAAAGAGTAGGAATAGAGGTTACTTTAAACCTTGTATCTGCATGAGACTTGATACGAGTCTCTTCTGCAATTAACTTATGGACAACAAAATCAACTGAGGGAAGAGGAGGGCGATGAAGAATTGTTCCACGTAGACCTTCAAAATCATAATGCAAGGCCATCAACAACTGGACCAAGCACTGTTCTTCCCTCCTAGCAATGTAAGTCTCAAAGTATTTTAACTCTTTAGATTTAGTAAGAGCCAATTGATACCACAGATCAAACATAGCAACATAGAAATCTTGAATGCTCTGGTCATTTTGTTGAAGAGCATGAATATCATATTCCAACTGGTATTGCTTAGCAAAGTTAGACTGAGTATACAGCATATCCAAGTGATTCCAAACTTCCTTTGTTATGTTATATTTAGCTAACTTCATACCAATAGACCGAGTGACAGAATTATTAATCCAAGTAATTACCTTGGAGTTATCAGTCTCACAAACATCAAGTAACAAATCAAAATTTTCAGTTTGAGGTATTGAGGGTTTCGCTTTAGTCCCGGTGACATAGCCCCACATATTCTTTCCACGAAGGAAGTTCTTCATAACGTAACTCCAATATGTATAATTCTTTCCATCCAAACGAGTACTGACTGACTGAAGGGAATCATCCTTTCCAGTCATGTTGACAATGAATAAGTAACCACAATGATAGTATAGCAATCTGAGAATGAGGGGTAACAAACCAACAGAAGCAATCAATCGGACAACAAGAAATCGAACAACAACAACAAATCAACAACAACAGCAAACAAAATTCACCAAAAAAAAAAACACATCAACAATGAATCAATAGCAACCAACAACGAATACCATCTGCTGCAGTAACCCTAGAAAATTTCGATATGCACCACAGATGACTACTACAAAGGCTTCTAACAACGTATCAAACCTCTGCTCTTATACCATGATAACATTTTCATATGATTATAATAAAGAGAAATTACAATGGTTCTCAATGAAAGGCATAAAGACTAAAAAGAATAAAGTGGATATAAATACTAGCTAGAAAAAACCCTAATGGAGTAAAGACTAAAGAGCCCATAAACAAGTGGGATAATAATATACAGGCTAAAAGATTTTAACAGTAATGATGGTTAAATTGGAGGTTGTGTAGGTTTGTGGTATTATTAAGGGCGAAACGAAGTTGTATATGGTAATTGGTTGTGGTTTGATTTTCTTTATTTTCGGATGTAACATGTATGATGATGGGTGAAGGCAGGTGGCTTCTCAGGTGGTGGATAACCAGTTCTGTCGCTTTTATTGATGCCAATGGTGGTGATTCATATTAAGGTGATGATGATGGTATATGTTGGTAAAGGGTAATGGATCAGATATATAGAGGAGATGGTGGTGCATGGATGGTGAGATGGTGAACCAGTGTTGTCGATTTTTAGTCAGCTAAAGTGGGTGGTGGTTTCAGGTTCTGCAGGTGGTATAAGGGTGGATAAGTTGAAGATAATATGGGGGATTTTTATTTTAATGGAAACCAAATAAACATTAAAAATATCCATGACATTTTTTATATTATTTTATGCCAATTCTATATATCTAAATCATCATGTCGTTTTAAGAAAACATGCTTGGTGTCAGTGGATTTTATTGAAAATTTATAAGAAAACTGGATTGTGGGTTTTATTGATATGGAAGGGTAAATGATAATGGTCTTTCTCTGAATATAAACATAATTCAAGGATTTTTCTAAACATTAAAAGATAAATGGTTGAGTTTTTCTGTAATTTTCCTGCGTGAAATTGGAAAGTGGGGATTTCGTTACTGGGTTTCTCGATGATACACATGACATTAATCTCAATGATGGAAAGTTTGACACAATTCATATTCTTGGTAACGGTCTTCAAGTGGGAATTTCGTTTCAGCTTTCAAGAATATCAATCGACTATGTTCTTTGTCTTCACTCTTCGGCCTTCAAAAATCATTAATCACCATGACTATTCTATTATACTCTTTTAATATTTTTGTCTTTCACTTAAACCTTCAAATTTTACTAGTTCTGGGTTCCAATTTTTTAATAGAGTTTAAATATTATATCATAACTTGAGGGCATCGCTACATCAACATCATTTGTTTTGGTTAAATATCTATAGGGGCGGAACTTCAACATATGATTTGGGGGGGGGGGGGGGGGGGCGAAAATATAATATGTATAAAAATCAGTAAGCCGGGGGCACCGCCAAAATTTTATATTTTTTGGTCTAATATGTATACAACGAAAGTATAGGGGCCTATTTGTAACAAAAAAAATCAGAAGGGGGGGGGGGGGGGGGGGACAACCCCCCTCACCCTAATAAAGCTCCGCCCATGAATATCTAATCAGATTGCCCTATATTTCTACTCTTTATCTCGTCTTAAATAATTTCATTATACATCATTAGAAAAATACTTGTCTCTATGCTCACAGGAAAACAGGCTAGTATCGACTATGGTAGTGGATCAATATCTGGATACTTTAGTGAAGACAACATCAAAGTTGGGGATATAGTAATTAAGGATCAGGTGAATTTGGAAAAAATTTCGCCATGAGCCATTTTTCTTTGGAAAATTAAATATCTTCATATCTTTTGTTCCTACTTATCCTCCTGCTCCTATAAAATAATGACATGTTGAATCCACTAATTATCTCTCTTGATCTTTTTTCTTGATTTTGACACTTGTCTTGATCTAATGAGTAGTAAGATTAGTAGGAACAAAAGGTATGAGGATATTCGATTTCTCTTTTTCTTTGCATGTAACTTGGTTAAAAAAAATTGGTTTTGAAAATATTTTAAATCTATGATCAATTTAGGAGTTCATCGAAGCAACAAGGGAACCTGGTATTACATTATTGGGAGGGAAGTTTGATGGTATCATTGGGCTTGGATTTAAGGAGATCTCTCTTGATTATGTTATCCCAATATGGTATGTTTTTAAGTAGTTTTGTAGATATATATATAATGTTAAAAAAATCAACTATCTTAATTGTCCATTGTTAATTTCTCATAAACTATTTTATTGTCAAAGCCCATCAACTTAGATTTTAGTTATGTTAATGTGAAGAAGATTAGAAGTTGATGTCATCTTCTTAGGAGAGTGGTCCACCGATAATATTGTTACTCTTTATGCGTCTTGAAATGTTTTCAACATGTTGCAGACCTCAAAGTCAACCTCTCGAAAAAAACAATGACTTTTCTTTTGGTGTGAATGATGGTAAGATTAAGTTGATGGATTAGTTATAAACTGTAAGAAAGGCACCATCTCCTCCCTTAACCTCAAGATCACTCTTGGTACTAATCTTAGGAGGTTTTTTGATTGGGCCTTTTGATTGAGAGGTTTAAAAATGAACTTTCTTTTTGGAAAGAGAGAAGATTATCTTTTGGTGGAGGCTTACCTTGTCTAAGTTCGTGCTTATGACTCTTGGCACATATCTCTTTTCCATTTTTAAAGTCCAATACAAGGTACTCAACATTGTGGAAGGTATTTATAATAAACTTTTGTGGTTGGTTCTGAGGGGAAAAAAGACTTCAACATTCATATTCTTGGAATATGGTGGTGGTGTTTTAGATCAGGTATTAGGGTTCTTTGGAAGGAGGTATTTTTGGCTTTAAATGGTCCTAATATGTATAAAATATGAGACGGGTGTTAGGGTGATTTCCAGTGGACTTAATGAAAATAAAATATAGTTCTCGTTAAGTAAATTAGAAGATCCATTAGTCCAAAACAATTTCCTTAAGTTCTATACGGATCTGTGCTGCAATAATATTGTTTCGCCAAAAGTTTTCCTTAGGATTTTTACATACTTTCGACTGTTTCCTGAATTGATTCATTGATATATGATTCAAATTTTTAAATGCTTTGAGAAAATGTCCACTTTTAGTGGGGTTGAGAAGGGGTTCTAATAGGTATTAGTGATGACGGGGACCTTGATTCTTTTAAGAACCAATATTGTCAACTTTCTTTCAATAAAAACTGAGACAATTATATTTATATTACTATGGAGTTGGATGAGATTTTCTTAGTTGCATCCCTTAGAAGAACAATACAGGGTTTCTTTGGAAAATAACAACCTAGTGGATTAAAGAGGCGACTAACAAGGTGAATATGTTTGCTTGGAGTCTCGTCTAGGGAGGCTCCCCATGTGATCTGTTCTTCCTACGAGAGTAAGGTGGAAAATGAGGTACAATTTATTCTTAACAATTGTTGGGACTTTACAACTTGCGCAACCAATTTGTTGGATGATCTTTTCTATCACAACCCCTCTTTGACGGTCTCTAATTATCTATGAATGTTATCAACTTACAGTTAGACACTATTTAAATCAATTACTGCATCTTCTTACTCTGGTGTAGAAGAATAACTTATAATTTTGAATAATATCATTAACATAATGACTTGCTTGTTTAATAATGAGGGTTAAATCTCGTATAAATATGGACATATAAGGAGCTCTTGGCATAACCTAATCCCCAAGGACCTTGGGCCTAAACCATAGATGCTAACATACTAAAGGAGCTCTGGTTTAAGGGTAGGAGATTGTACTACTATTTAGGAGGAGAGAGACGACATGGGAAAATATTGAACCTAATGAAGGCACCCTCTCAAGACTATTAGAGAAGGTTGTTGGAGGTCAAAGGTGGCGGCAACGAGTTGTTGTCAGCAATAGGGTTTTAATCTAGATTTCTGATTTCATGATATAATGACTTGTTTGATTAATAGGGAATGTTAAACCCATACAAATAAGGATATACAAGAGGCGTTGATCTAACTTAAACCCTAAGGACCTTTGGCCTAAACCATAGATGTTAACATACTAACAATATCTAGTATTTGTCTTTATCTAGAATCGCTCTAGGATTGGTAGCTTGACTTGATGGGAAAATATGTATTGTAGCCTAGATCATGACTTGCTCTGGGAGTAGTATGTCGATAAGATGGAAAACTTTTGTGTCATGCCCATCTTTGGATAATCGATCCCATGTAACCATGCATTTCTTGCTAGCTTTTGTTCCTCAATACAATTTATTGTGTTTCACAAAAAATTAAGTCATTTTAATATCAAAACAGTTTGGACAAGATTTAGTTGATCTCTCAAATAATTGGTGGATTTTTTTCAATGCCAACCCATATAACAAATGAAAGGAACCTATATTTTGACCTTTATTGGTAAACATCTAATAGAAACTGCCTGATTACAAAGATCGTACTAGTTATACAAATAGTGGTATTCTTATTGTCACGCAGGTTCATGTGCTTTAGTTGGTCGGGAGTTTCGATGGGCATAATGTGTGATCTAACTCTAATGTATCGATAGTTCACATTTATGTTATATAGGGACAATATGGCCAATCAACATCTAGTTAAGGAACGCATCTTTTCATTTTGGCTTAACCAAAGAGGTAAAGAAGGAGAAGGGGGTGAAATCATCTTTGGTGGTGTTAATCCAAATCACTACAAAGGTGTGCACACATTCGTTCCGGTCACTCAAAAGGGATATTGGCAGGTTCGTTTGTTAACTCCCTAATGGTAGTTCAAGAAATGAATGAGTATATATATATATATATATATATATATATATATATATATATATATATATATATATATATATATATATATATATATATATATATATATATATATATATATATTCTAAATCCCTTTGTTGTTATGCTTTTTGCTAGTTTGATATGGACGACGTACTTATTGGTGGGGAATCAACTGGTATGTAACAGACCAACGTTATATTTTACTACATGTTGAATATTTGAACACATATATGCATGATGCCTAGTGGTTGTTTCCAGGGTTTTGTAAAAACAAATGTGCAACTATTGTCGATTCTGGAACTGCCTTGTTAGCTGGACCAACGGTCTGTAATTCTCATATAATCATTAACATATTATAATAGGTCAGCAAATAGTTTAACATAGATCTTTCGAGGAATAACAATTAAGATATACAAACAAAGTGTAATTTCAATAAAAATATAGTGATATTGATTTCTATAAAATTTGATTGATAAGAGCTTATTAGTAAGTATTTTTGTTGTAAAGTATCATTTTTTATGTAAATTTAATATTAGCAGTTGTTTTTCATAATATTTTTTATAAAGCTATAATATTTAATACACATTTCTCATGATTTACACATATAGTTTTTCAATAATCCGTATAAATACCGTTTCCGTTGTAATAAAAATCAAAGGACCTCATCTTTCCATTTGATTCTGCTTGGATTGTTTGTTACATTATCCAATAAAAAAAATTTTGTATCTAAAATTCTTATAACTAGGATGGGTGTGATCGATCTTATTATCATTAGTATTTCTAGTTCTTAAGTGTGCTCATCTACTTTTGTGCTCGTTAACTTTCAGAGTGTGATCACCCAGATAAATCATGCCATCGGGGCTCAAGGAATTGTAACCGAGGCGTGCAAGGGTTTTGTCTCTAAATTTGGACACATAATATTTGGGCTGCTTTCGACATTTGTATACAACTTCCAATTCCCACATCAAAATTTATTAGAAGTTCGATTTTTTTACCTCACATGTTAGTTTAATTCCTGAACAGGTCAATACGAAGACGATATGCCCATTTATTGGATTCTGTTTTCTTGATGGGGATCGTGAAGTTAGGTTAGCTCTCTAAAGCTTTCTTGTATCTTTTTATCTTGTCTCCTTCACCTAATGTAACATAGATAAAACCATCATCTATCTTTTTTCTTGAATGGTGATTTTATCCTTTCGCACAGTATTGGCATTGAGAGTGTTGTAGATAGGAGTGATGGTGTATCGCATCCATCTATAACCACACCAAATTGCATTCTCTGTAAAGCAATAGTAGGTCTTATGCATAAAATGATTTCCAACAACAACACACAAGAAATGATTTTAAAAACATTAGGCAATGTGAGTTTTCTTGCTAGTTGTTTTTTATTATTATTCGTCACATAATTTGCCATTTATTATATAATATGATGAGTCCAAATTTGCAGCTATGTAAACTGGTGCCTATCCCAGTAGAAGAGTCGATGGTTGACTGTGCGAGACTTCCTTATATGCCTACTATTTCGTTTACCATTGCTGGCAAAAAATTTGAACTTTTACCTGATGAGGTTTTATTAATTTTGTTGTATATATATATATATATATATATATATATATATATATATATATATATATATATATATATATATATATATATATATATATATATATATATATATATATTATCTTTTACAGTTCATAGAAACACAATTTTATTTGATCACAAACATTATCAATACCATGTACTTAGTATGTGTTTGTTTCTTAGTACATACTTAAGAGCGGGGAGGGTGATGATGCACAGTGCGTGAGTGGTTTCATGCCTTTGGATATAACTCCTCCACGTGGGCCACACTGGTACGTGTGTCTCCTTCGGGTTTGACTATAGAATTTTACCTTGATTTTAGATGTTAAAACCTATAATCTTTAAAGTCAACTATTAGAGGATTTTTATGTTTCATGTGATGCAGGATATTAGGTGACTTGTTTATGCGTCGTTACCACACTGTATTTGATTATGGCAATCTAAGAGTTGGATTTGCAGAAGCCGCGTGAACAAGACCTTTTCATCTTAACCATATAGATAATTGTTCGGATTGATTTGATTTAATGAGTGGATCTATTATCATATTTTGGAAAACATATATAAATGAGAGTGAGTGATTGGCCATTAGTATTTTTATATTTATATGATGTTGGAAAATTAGTTTTATTAACTTAAAAAAATGTTTTTCCCATTTTTTAATAAGAATTTAGCACTTTAAATATAATCAAACCAAACAAATGATTTTATATTTGTGTTCTCTCCGTGATATATTTTTTTGATATATCACACGTCCAAAGCGGATTAAAAATGAATGATAAATTATTTATCAAAGTATGGTAGCTGGAAAAAAATAACAAGTGGGTTAATGACTTTTAACTCATCCTACATTGGTGAGAGTATGAAAAGAAAATGAGTTTATAACTATAAATACTTGTTAGTTTTGTAAGATTTATAAACTCAAGACTTATATCTTCCTTTTTCTACTTTTGTTTCTTATTTTTGCTCCAACCAAGGTATTTTTTTAGGCCAATGTATTTTCCTCTTACTTCTGCTTGGGTAATCTAGAAGGTATTTTCCTTTTACTTCTCCAACCAAGGTATTTTCCAACCAATTGAGGGTTTGGGAAATCTAGAAGAATCAACTCATTATTTATTTAAATGCATCAATCAACATATAATAAGAAAAAGAACACTTAAGTAAGATCTTGGATACCCTAACTTATAACTCTTAACACTCTTATAATATAACTCTCAACATTCTTTCTAGATCTAATACAAACAAACAAGTTGGTATATATGTTGGAAATTATAGAATAGATATTGCAAGTTGGCAAGTTTTCTCTATCCCACATTGGCAGGGAAAAAACGTTTTGTGAGCTTATAAACCATTTCTATATTTTCCTCTTACTTCTCCTTGAGGTTTTGGCAATATAGAAGGTAGTTTCCTCTTATTTCTCCAACCAAGGTATTTTCCAACCAGTTGAGGGTTTGGGAAATCTAGAAGAATCAACTCATTATTTATTTAAATGCATCAATCAACATAGAATAAGAAAAAGAACACTTAAGTAAGATATTATTATCTAAATGCATCAATCAACATAGAATAAGAAAAAGAACACTTAAGTAAGATATTGGATATCTGATGTGTGCAAAAATATATCTATCTAACTTTAAATTTATAACCTAACTACTTATCTACTAATTCACGTATAGGTAGTGTATTTAGTCAGTTTATAGTATACTAAAGTAAGTTGAGTATCAAACGCAAGGAATGGATTCAATATACTAAAATAACTACTAAAAATTAATCTAAAAGCAAACAATAATTAAAAGGGATTTTTATTCTGATTTTGCAAGTTTAGACCAACTTAAGCATTCAACTAAAAATGAATGTAATCAAGATATCCAAAAACACTTTCGTTTAGTTTTGAATCCATCTTTTTCCTATGGTTAGCTCTTGTTTATGGATTAATAAAGTTGGTTACCAATTTATATATAATTAACAATCTTTATCCGATCTACTAATATTTTTACCAATTCATGTACTACTATGTAATGGTCATACACAAGCAAACATAGAATTGATTAATAATGATAATTGGGCCATGTAAGATATATCTAGATAATTATCTGTCACCAAGACAATTAAACAACCACAATTATGTTCTCCAATACAAGTAAAATTGTTACCTTTATTACTTATCTAAGATGTAATCAACCCTAACTCTAGTAATTTAATGTTCACTAAACTACTAGGTAAGAAAGTTCATGCAAATTAATGGTCACTAAACTACACTTAACTTGACTTAATGCAACAAAAATCAAAACTTTAACACGCTAGTTAATGATAATCAAACACACGAATAAAACCAACTTCATAAAATCCATAAAATAATAAGCTAACTCATAGTTTTAAGGTTTCATCTAACCAAACGAAAGTCTACTAATTTAGCTACTCATATCTGAAAATAAACACACAAGTTCATAAGAAATTGACATGATTAAATAAATGCAAACCAAATGTAGTGTTTTAATCATCAAATTCTTGATCTTCAAACAATCTCTCCTTCCAAAGGATGTTTTTCGCACTTTTCTAACCTCCAAACTCGGTTATCTCTCCACAATATGTCTAAGACAACCTTCTCAATCGAATGAGCAAAGGAGTATTGATAGTTTCCAAAAATTGTGTCTCGCATCATGAGAATTAAGTTCTCACATCGTGATCTCGGTAGAATTCGTGTTCGGCAAGGAAACTGCATTCCGTGTAGCTATCTTCTAGAACAATCAATCTCACATCGTGAGATTATATTGCTCACATTGTGAGAACTACAGATTAGCATTTAGCATAAAAATGAAAGTCATCCGAAATTTTGTCTAGTTTTCAAATCATTTTGAATCTCATCAATCGGAGTTACGAGTCATGAAATATGGCCAAAATGTGACGAGGGGTCAAGCTGTCCACTTTTGGTTGCAAAAAACAATTTAAACATTATAAATACCAAATATCTTTGTAATTAACCAAACTATAGCTTAAAATATATTAAAATACTGACTCGAAATGTGTATAAATATGGCACTGTCAAAATACCCCACGCTTATCTTTTACTTGCCCCCTCCCCCCCCCCAAGCAAAACAAATCTTTTAAGTTAAACTTTCATCACTAATATCACATAAGACAATCTATTTAGAACCCAGCCATTACACCAAGACCGCAATGCACAAATTTGTGTCTATGATTCCTAAAAACTTCCCCAATCCTAGATACTCACACTCCTTATGAACATTCACCCCCTAGTTTATACTAAACTCATTTTTGCAACCCCTCAAATCCATCATCATAAATATTTCTTAACCTCAAGGTATTTTTGGTTAAGCTTCCTAAGCATACATATATTCTAAAAAGAAATTACAACTTTGATACCACAATGGAGCTCTTCGAATTCATCTATTCTTTGATATATTCTCTTTGAGTTCTTCGAATTCAACACATTTTGCTTGATTTTTGGTATCTTCAACTTTTGATTCTTCAGAATTTTGATCTTTTGATCTTCATACTTTGATAGCTCCAAAATTCTTACAACTTTTTTTGTAATTTTCTATCTTTTTTAATATCTCACTTTTTTTTGGTCAAATCCTACATGCTTAAGCAAATGAACCTTTATCGGTTAAGGTACTAGTCTAAGTGCAATGACTACATAAGCTCTCCTGAATAGATTTCAGGTACACGCTGCAAAGCTTTTTATGTCATTCAAACTACCAGATTAAATTTCATATCTTATGACTTTTCACTAAGAATGAGAAGCCACAAATATACTATAACATATGTTGGCTTAATTAAACATTTGAGCTTGCATTGGATCATCCCACGGAACACTAGCAACTTAAGTTTTTAATTATCACTAGTTTTTAATCTAAAGCATTTTTTCCAAGTCTTTTTGTTTTTAATTTTCAAAATTTCCTAATCTAGCAAAAATTTTAATTTTCTAATTTAAACTTAATTTCCTTTTTTGACCCCTACCCCACACTTACTTCATACAATGACCTCATTGTATGCACAAAACTATTTAAGCGGTAAAAATGGAGAAAAAAGAACAGACTCCCCTAGTGTAGTAGTGGTGGGATCAATTTCTTGAATGAGTGTGGAAAGTTTGAACATCTTGAATTTGTAACTTGAACTTGGACTTTGATGGTACTTGTGAATGTGCCGAATAAAATGTGAATCATAAACTTGCATCTTCAAAAAGTGTGGTGCAAAAAATCTTCCAAATAATGCATTTCAATGTGGGAAATCATATGCCACATTGTAACGTTGAAAGAAAAGAGTGTAATGAGCGATCTTTGATAACTCACGACGTGAGATTTGAGAGGTCACGACGTGGGTATAGTTAAAATCGAATTTTGAATTGCAATGGCATCTTCCTCACGACATGAGAAATAAAAGATCATGTCATGAAAACTGGGTCTTGGCAAAATACTTTTTTTTTTCAACAATTCTTCTATGTATGTGAACATCCATTGTCTTCTTAACTCATTAAGACTTGTTTTAAGACCCATTTTTATGGAACTCTTTCTTTTCTCTAATCGATCTTCGCACACGAATGTCACCGGTAACCCCACACTAATTAAAAAGTATGGTATTCGATTCTTATCTCTAACTCTCACGACCTTCTTTTCTCTCGTCATTTTAGTAATTCTGCAAACAAAACAAACCATTGGTTGCAAGAAGAAAACCAACATCTACCATTTGGTTACATGTCTTTAAACAATCCAATAAAAACACACCAAAAATAAACAAAGAAAAATTAAATAAAATAAAAGGATATAAATTCTTCAAATATCGGGTTGCCTTCCGATAAACGCTTCTTTTTGTGCGAGTCTTGAGCTGGACTCCCAACTTAATAAACTGTCAATCCGCTTGTTATTATGTAACAACACAAAAACTTAGGTGAAAGTTTTCATTTAATAATTAGAAATAACACCCATATTGCTTTCCAAAAATTCCTTTGCATAACACATTGTTCAAAAGATCAGAGTATCCAAAAGAACTAGTGCGAATACTGGAGAGTGCACACTGCGCCATCAAGTCGGGCCCTTTCCCTTAGAATCTGAATTACCTGAAACACCCAACAAAACTGTAAGCATATGCTTAGTGAGTTTCCAAAAATACACAAATCATATAATCATATAATCATATAAGGTCATGCACATATACACATAAAACTGCCATGGACTCCCTCCATGGTCTTCAACCGGGATGCCATGGGCTACCCCCATGGTCTTATACCCCAAGTATCATGTGCTCCCTCCATGTTCTTCATGTAAATCAATATACACCAAATAATAGACCATTGCATAATTAGTTATAGAAATTTCACATCAAGTAATGGACCGACATTGTTGCCTTCGACCCATTGATATAGTGAGAAGACTCACCTCAATCTGTTGAACACAAAGCTGCTCGACTACTAGCCCACGATCTTACACGGAACAATATACAATACATCCTAATTAGGATTGGGTCACAACTTAGACAAAGGCCTAACATCATAATTTATGGTCCACCATTAAAGCCCAAATGTCTAACTTACATTAATGGGCCAACGATCATAGTCTAAACTATAATAGGCCACATAGCCTAATAAGGTCCAATCATGA